GCGCCGAGGAGCTGCCAGCAGCATGGGACGCCGTCGTCAGCACCTTGGAGCAGGAGCTGTTGGACCGCTACGACCAGGTTGGCGAAGCGCGCAGGCGGTTCGAAGGACGTGCGGGGCCCATTGCGACCAAGCTGGCGCCAGTCAAGTGGAAGCCGCAAGGGCAGCGTGTCCGATTGGGGCCTGATGTCATCGCGGCCAAGGTCGCGGGCCGATGGGCGCGTCACTTCATGGGGGTCAGCGCGTTCCTCGCGAAGGCCAGCAGGAGGCTGCAAACCGCCAGCCTGCAGTGCTCCCTTGTCCCTGAGCAGCACCACGAGCTGGCGGACTTCGTCGCGAGGGCTTTGGAGTATGGGCGCGTGGTTATGGACAGCAAGAAGACGCTGGCACTGCTCCCGCATTGGGTGAGGTCCTTCTTCGAGCAGGGCTTTCGCGTGATCGGCAACACCGACTTCCTGGAGCAGGCGGGCCGCATCGTCCAGTTCGCCAAGGACGCCCACGCGGACGCGATCAAGGTCAGGCAGCAGAGCTGGATCCAGTGGGCCAACGACAGCCTGCGGAACGGCGCTGGCAAGGCGCACCGCTTCACCAAGCTGCGGGCGATGCAGGAGGTGCTGGCGCAATGGCAGGGCACCCACACCGAGCTCACCACTGGACGGCTCGCCCAGACCTTCGTCCCGCAGCAGCAGGTCGCCAGCCAGCACCTGATCTGCGACCGGGAGATGAAGGCCTGGGAGGACGTCTGGTCGTGCCACAAGCTCGAGGCGCTGGAAAGGCCAGCTGACTTCGACGAATGGGACGACCTCGAAGACCTCACCGTGGAGGCGCTGCAGCGGGCCGCATGCAGCTTCCCCACCACCACGGCGCTCGGCCCAGCGCAGATCGGTATGCGCGCGCTCACCTTTCTCACGGACGACGGCGTTTACACCTGCGGCCAGCTCTTCATGAAGTGCGAGGCGCTGGGGGCTTGGCCCAGCGAAAGGCTGTGGCACGCTATGTGCCGCATCCCCAAGGCCTCTGGCGGCTGCAGGCTGATCACGCTGATGCACTCGCTAATCCGATGGTGGTCGAGGGCTCGTGCCTCGACGTCCAAGGCGTGGCTGACGGCGCACCCCAATGCCAGTATTTGGGGCATGGGCGGCGGCAGATCTTCCTCCGACTCCGCCTTCGACCTCAACCTTGAGACGGAGGTATCGGACTGCCTGGACGAGCACGTCGTAATCGTCATGCTGGACGCCTGGAAGTTCTTTGAGACGATTAAGCCCGAGTGGATACTCATCGAGGCGCGGCTGCTGGGCATGCCGCTGCGGTTGGTCTGGATGTTGATTGAGCTATACAGGCAGCCGAGGCGGCTGCAAGCTTTCGGCTCGGTGTCCTACGCGGTCGTGTCACATCAGGGCGTGCTCGCAGGATGCACTCACGCCTGTGCCATGGTCACCTTGCTCATGTTCAGGCTGCTCGAGCAGGTGCGAGATGCAGGCGTCACCCCGAGGGCCCTCATCGACGACGTCACCTTGCAGTGGCGCGGGAGGCGGCTCTCGCAACTGGGCGTGCTTTGGGCGGCCACCACCAGGTTCCGAGAGGGCGCCCAAGAGCGAGGCATTGTCGTGCAGCCCACCAAGTCGGGCAACTTGGTCTCATCGGACGCGGCTGCTCGCGAGTGTGCCCGACACGCGGCGGCCCGCAAGCTGACCAAGATGCGCTGGGCCCGCAACCTGGGGCACGATCTGGGCGGGCGCAGAAACGCTAGGCTCCAGACGGCAAAGCGGGTGCGGCAGCTCAAGGAGCGGCGCGGCAAGTTGGCAGCTTTCAAAGGGGCAGTGGGCAGGCGCGCTACCTGCCTGTGGAAGACGGGCCTCATGCCGTGTGCGGCGCACGGTGCTGGGGTGTCAGGGCTCACCGACGATACGCTGCAGGTGCTGAGGGCCGAGGCTGGCAGGCTTGCAGGGGCTCGGCCAGGTGCATCGAGCGTCACGGTGTATTTAGCCACGCAGAAGGCGCGCGAGTACGACCCCATCTACGGCGCCACCTGCGACATCGTTTGCCGATACGCCAGCTGGATCTGGGAACAACGCACCTCCCTGGCTAGGCTCCACAGGGCCTGGGCCAAGGTCACGGAGCGGCTCGTGGGGCGCCCGTCCTGGGCAGGGGCTCGCGGTCCCATCGCCTCCGTCACGATGACGCTCTGGCGCATCGGATGGCACATGTACTCCAGCACGACCCTGGTCACCGACCAGGATACGGCGATCAACCTCCTCACCACGTGCCCGAAGGACGTCAGGATGCATCTGACCGGCGGCGTGCAACGCTGGCAGGCGAGGCAGATCGCGGCGCACCACCGCCAGCACGGCGAGGTCAAGCCTTGGGTGCGGGCCATGCGGCTCTGCGTGGGCGACGGGCGCGCGGCTTTGGCGGAGGGCCCGTCGGCCACCAGCCTGCGTCACCACTGGGCGACGGTGGCCTGGACGCAACAGGCCCAGCACGACCTTGGGCTGGCGGCGGCGCCGAATTGCAGGGCCTGCGGACATCCGTCCGACTCGCCTGGGCACAGATTTTTCGGCTGCAAGGTACTCGTGCAGCCGCTCACAGAGGAGGAGCAGGACGAGCAGCTGCCGCCCGAGCCGATGCAGGCCATCCGCACCTTCATGTGCGACAAAGGCCTGCAGGAGGGCGGCAGCTTCGAGAGCGCCGACTTCCAAATGTGCTTGCCCTGCATGCCGCCTTTCGCGCCGCCCGCCGCGGAGCAGGCCGAGGTGAAGTTCTGGGGCTGCTGGCCTAGCCAAGGGGCGGACACGGCTTCCTGCAGCAACGCCGTCTTCACCGATGGCTCAGGCTTCGCGTCCAGCATGCCCGAGCTGAGGCGCTGCGGATGGGCCTTCGTGCAGCTTTCCCTCCAGGGACTGCCTGTTCGGGCGGCGTCCGGGGCGCTGCCAGGGCCGCTCCAGACGGTCGGGCGCGCGGAGAGGCACGCGCTGCTGCAGGCATTGCGGCTCGCGGGGCCGCAGCTCGAGTTCGTCTTCACCGACCTTCTGTCGATGGAGAAGGAATGCAGCCACTGGGGCAGGAGCTAGAGGAGGCGCGAGCGGCACATGCCACAGTGTGGAGACGGATTCGTGCCCAGCCAGCGCGGCCTGAAGTGAGATGGATCCCCGCGCATCAGGACATGGATGCGTACTTGGACCGAGGCCCCCACCCGCTGCTGTACTCTGGCAACATGTGGGCCGACTGGTTCGCTCGGCAAGGAGCCATGCAGCACACCGTGTCGAAGGTGTACGAGGAGTTCTACAACATCGAGCTGCGACACTACAAGAGCCTGGCAAAGTACGTCGGCTGGGCGATGCAGAGGACGATGCACGCAGGCCGCTGGGATGCGCCCGAGCAGACAGCCCGCCCGCCAAAGGTGCCCAAGGTGCAGGCGGCGACTGTGATCAGCCACTCCCTGATTCGCCTGAACGGGACGGCGGTGGTGCTGTGCCGCGCTTGCTGCAGGCAGACCAGCGGGCAGACGGGGCCCACATGGACGCAGTTCGCGCGTTCAGCTTGCGAGGCCAGCCAGTACACCGCGCTGCGGGCCGAGGCCATCATCGCGCACGTCGGCGCGCAGCCCATTGTGGTCTCGGAGGCGGGCGAGTTCGCTATGCAGGCGATCGAGCGCGCGGCGTGCCCCGAAGATGCGGGGCCCAGGCCAGCCGAGCCTGCCCCCTGGGGCTCAGGGGACGGCACCATCGAGATGCAGGGGCACAGGCTGAGGCGCGCAGGGCCCACCATCTACTGCGAGGTATGCGTGGCATGGGCGGCGACAGGCTCCTCACTGGCCCTGGCTGCGCCCTGCGCTGGCCCGCCCAGCGCCGAGGGCAAGAACCAGCGCACCTACCTGTCCAACCTCAGGGCGCGGCTCAAGAAGCTCAGCCAAGGGCTGCACCCCAAGACAGGAAAGGTGCTCACTTGGGGAGGTGCAGGCGAGGCTCCAGACGGCCCCAGACCATGGGCCACAGCGGCGGCCAGCGCGGCCGCGGGCGACATGGCCTCTGGGGGCGACGGCGCTGCAGAGCGGCCAAGCGGCAGGCTCGCGCAGAAGGAACAGGGCGAGGCGACCAGGCCTGGCCAGGACCACGAGACGCGCGAGGTGCCTGCAGGGGCTGGAGGGTCCGACGCAGTCCAGACAAAGAAGCCTGCTTGGCGGGTGCGACGGCAGGAGCTCCTGGAACGGATGCAGCAAAGGCAGCAGCATCTGCTAGCCGAACGTGGTCCAGCAGCCGCCAGCGGCGCGCAGCGTGATGAGGGAGACATGGCCGACGGCAGCTTGCCCTCGGCCTTTGGAGCGCACCAATGCCCCGACGGGGGCACCACTGGACTGGGGACGCTCCAGCCGCCGCCAGCTGCCCCAGACGTGGGGGTGGTCGATGCCTGTCTGGCGGCGGGGCCGTCGCGGCTGCCTGCGCCCTTGAGGTGTGACCTGGCACACGAGGGGACGCTGACCACGGACCACCAGGAGGGCGCCGTGACCAGCCCTCAGGACATGAGCAGCCCGCCGCAGCCGTTCTCGACTACCGATATGGCCAGCACCAGGGGTGGCAGGGGACCTGCAAAGTGCGGTCGCGAATGCGGCCCCGCCCTGAGTGCTGGCAGGTCTGACAACTCGCAGCGGGCGATGCCAGGCATGGCCAGTGACAAGGGTGGCAGGAGGCCTGCAAGCCGCGACCCTGAGTGCGGCCCCACCTTGGGCACTGGCGGCGACGGCAGCCAGGCCCACCGCGTGCGGCGACGATTTACGGCCTGGGCCAGGGGTGGCAGGGGACCTGCAATGTGCGTGCGTGAGTGCGGCCCCGCCCTGAGCCCAGGATGCGACGTGGACCGCGACGGCAAGGGCATGGCCAGCGCCAGGGGTGGCAGGGGACCTGCAAAGTGCAGTCCTGTGTGCGGCCCCGCCCTGGGCACTGGCAGCGGGTCTCTGGAAGCGGCGTCGCCTGAGGAGGACCAGCGGCAGCCGCAGCTGGCTTCTGGGGGGGCGTGTCCGCGTGCAGCTACGGCTGGTGCCAGGGGTGGCAGGGGACCTGCAGTCTGCGGTCCTGAGTGCGGCCCCGCCCTGAGCACCAGCACCCACCCCGAGCGGCGACGGATTACGGCCTGGGCCAGGGGCGGCAGGGGACCTGCAATGTGCGTGCGTGAGTGCGGCCCCGCCCTGAGCCCAGGAAGCGACGCGGACCGCGACGGCATGTGCATGGCCAGCACCAGGGGTGGCAGGGGACCTGCAAGTGCCGACCGTGTGTGCGGCCCCGCCCTGAGTGCTGGCAGTGTTGCGGTGGCTCGGCCTGAGCCAGCGCAGCCGAGGCGCAGCGTCGCGCCCAGGCTTGAGCTGCAGGTCGCTGGATGGGCGCGGTACTGGACCCAGGCTCCCGAGGTCGGCGAGACGATGGAGTGCTACAGCGAGTGGCTCGACACTGCGTCGGCTACGTCACGCAGATCCTGTCCCAGCCGCGCTTCGCCACCAGGCTGCGGGCGCGTGGGAGGACGGCCGAGGAGATGGCCGAGGAGATCTGCGAGCGGGCCTGGGGGACTGGCTTGCCCGCGAGGCGGGCCTACTACAGGTGGCGCCACACGCTGACGCGGTCGCAGAGGATCGTGTCGGACTGCATGCGGCGCTACGACTACGTGTGCCTGCGGACGTGGCTGGCCGAGCTGCGGCGGGACGGGCAGCCACCGCCCATTGGCCCGCTCAGAGCGCCTTCGGTGCCGTGGAATGCGGGACGCAGGAGGCGACGGAGAAGTGGTTGAGGGTCGGCCTCTCCTGGCACGGGCAGCCGCTGCGTGGCGTTCTGGCCCCAGCGGCTCGCCGCAAGGTGCTGCGCGGCGGTCTGGCCCCAGCGCGCCGCCCTTCGCGTCCGTCGACGTGATCGGCATCACTGGCCTCCCCTGAGGCTGCGGCCCCCTGGCCGCCTGTGCTGCGTCTAGTTGGCCTGGCCGACGCGACGTCCTGCCGCTGCTCGCTGCTTTTCACTGCTGCTTCTTTTTTTTTTGTTTTTTTTTTTTTCTTGGTTTTTTTGTTTTTTTTTTTTTTTTTTCTTCGTCCTTTTTTTTTTTTTTGTGTTATTTTTTGTTTTTTGTGTTGTTTTTTTTTGTTTTGGTTTTTTTCTCTTGGCGGTTTTTTCTGTGTTTTTCTTTCTTATTATTTTTTCTCATTTATATTTTTTTTCTTTCTTTCGTTTATTTTTCCTTCCTCCTCTCCTCCGACATCTTTCCTCCATTCTTCTCCTCCCTCCTCCTCCTCATCCCCTTCATCCTTCCTCTCCTCCCTACGCCTCATTCCGCCTCCTCCCTACTCACTTCCATCCTCCTACTCATCCCTCCCTCCTCCTCCTCCTCCTCATCCTCCTCCTACTCCTCCTCCTCCTCCTCCTCCTCCTCCTCCTCCTCCTCCTCCTCCTCCTCCTCCTCTTCCTCATCCTCCTCCTCCTCCTCTCGAGCATTTCCGGGCCCTCGGGGCGGCCGCGCCCGAGGCAGTAAGCCGCGCGCGCCCGGCTCGCGGAGGGCCCCGCTGCAGCGGCCACGCGGCGCGGCGGCCGCGGCGGCTGCCGGCCCGAGCGCCGCAGCGGGCCATGGCCGCCGCGGTGCGCGCTGCGGCGGCGCCGCTGCGGCGGCTGGCCGGCAGGGGATCGGCACGACCGGAAGGGGCACGGAAAGGATGGGTACGTGCGAAGACCGAGGGCAGTTCCTGCTCATTTTGAGCACGGCTCGTTGTCGGTGTTGCCGCGGGCGCTGCCCATTCGAGACAGGAGGATGCCCCACTGCGGCCGCTGCCGGTGTGGAGCAGCACTTGTTGTTCGGCATCGTGCCCTTTTTCCATAGCCATTTCGGGCGTCCAAAGGGGAGAGAGAATTTCCAGAGGCTCCGAGGATTGTGTGCGCGACGGATAACGCTAGCCCCAGGATCATAAGGGTGGACCCCCCCGTCCTCTCAGGGGGGGGACATCGCTCCAGGTGGCGAACAAAATATGATTATTCCCCCCTCGGCTGCAGTGGATACGGGGCTTTGGCGTTTCGGTTCCTGTTGCCTGCTATGACTCGCGTGATGTCGAGATACGTGGCTCCAGCGATCTTGGGCCAGTCAAACATGCATTACGGCCGGACAGAGGTATACGATCGAGGTCCGCTTGGAGATGGTACCCTAACGGTTTCCGTGCTTGATGGGTGTTGTTGTGCAGCCTGGAGGAGGACACCCTCGGATGATCTCATGGCTTGGCCAGCAGCGGGTCTCACGTGCTCGAAGGATGTTATCATGTCCTAGGTCCAGCAGAATTCTTCGGTTTTTTTATAGCTCTTAGATGCGCACTACGCCGAGAGAGGCGGGGCCGACGCTCCAGGCACGACGCGCCACGCTGCGCCACGCTCCGCGGAACTCGGAGTGGCACGAGACTGCGCCGCGAGCGGCCGACGTCGCGACCGGAGCCTCAGGCCCCAATTTGCTGCGGCGCTTCTCGGCCAGGGCCGATCCGCGACGGCCCGCGGGCCCGAGAGCGGGCAGACGCGCCTGGCACGAAGGAGCTGCGACGCCCGAACATGTTCGGCGATGGACAGGGCCAAACGCGCAAGCAGTGCCAGGCGGCACTATGATCAAGCGCTGCCCACGAACTCTTAAGGGAAAAGACCATCAATGGCACGCTGCCCTTGCTGGCCCGGCAGCGTGTTGCTCCTTCGTGTTGTCCGAACGTTTAATGTTCCTTCAACAGAATCACGCCAATGGGATGCACACGGCGGCGTGTCGTTGTGGCTTTTTCCTTTCCGACAAACCAACACAGAGCACATCGTCTAGTGATCGGGACGTCACGCTGTGGCCGCGACAGCCCAAGCGACGTCGGTCTTCGATCGGCCCCCGTCGCGGGTAGCCACCGCGCGCCGGAGGCGCTCTGAACGCCGTCGCGGCGCGGCGACGAGGTGAGGTTGACCCCCGTCGGCGGGGTACCCCCCCGCGCTTATTGAGAAACCCAGAGTAGGAATTGGTGAAACGATGCCCAGGGAGGCATGGGCAGGAGAGGGCGAGGAGGGCAGGGGGATGTCGAGGAGGCGGGGGAGAGTGGGGAGATGGGGAGAGGGGGCCCTGTGGGGCTCTCTCGACAGGGGCCTGAAGACGCTTGAAGCGACCCCACTGCAGAGTCACAACGGCCAGACTCGTCATCGGAGTCCTGGCCAGTGCGCGCCTAGGGAGAAGCCCGGGGAGCCAGAGGTTCCCGCAGTTCGGTCGGTTTTTGGCTAAGTTCTGGAGGGGGAAAAAAACACAGACACAGTTGACCGCCGATCCGCAGGAAAATGTGCGAAAATAGAGGAAGTGTGGGGGGGGGGGAGACAGGAACCCAGAGGAGATGTGGAACTACGGGAATTCCTGGGATCTGTGTCTGTGTGTGTGCTTATTTGTGTGTTGTGGGCCCCTTCACAAGTCGCAGTCGGTTGCGTGCGGTTGCAGCCGGTTGGCTGGGCTCGGCCAGCTGCCGGTCGTTGCTGCGTCGCTGCGCGCCCTTCGCGATCGGCGGCGAGCCCGGGGTGAAGTTTGAAGGAGCGGGCCTTCTCAGAAGGCTCGGAAGGCCTTCTCAGAAGGCTCAGGAGGAGGAGGAGGAGGAGGAGGAGGAGGAGGAGGACGAGGAGAAGACGGAGGAGGAGGAGGATGAGGAGGAGGAGGAGGAGGAGGAGACGGAGGAGAAGGAGGAGGAGGAGGAGGAGGAGGAGACGGAGGAGGAGGAGGAGACGGAGGAGGAGGAGGAGACGGAGGAGGAGACGGAGGAGGAGCAGGAGGAGGAGGAGGAGGAGGAGGAGGAGGAGTGCTGAGAAATTCCCTTAGGCTTCCCCGAAGACACAGGAGACTCCTCAGAAGGCCGGAGGGCTTTCTGAGAAGCCCCGCCGCCTTCTGAGAAGGCCTGCTCCTTCGCACTTCCACCCCTCGCTCGCCGCTGAGTCGAGTCACGCTGCCTGCGGCCCATCGGTTCGGCCGACTTCGGTGTCGTTGTCGGCTTCGGTCGGTGTTCGTTTGTGTTGCCGCGCAGGGGGCCTCGGGGAGCAGCGGGCATCAAGCAGTGGCGGATCGCCCCGGCTTGCCTAGAGGCTTACCGAAACATGTTCTATGGACCTCTTGTGTTTTGCACGGCATGCTCTTTGACAGCCTTTCTGGTCCAGACCGTCTTGTTCTGACATGTCGGCTGCACGTTCTATGAACGCTGCTCCTGCCTTCAGAAGCCGTTTGTCGAAGACCATGTCGTGGCTGGTGGCGGGCCTGCAGGAATGCCAGCACGGCCGGTCCCTGCTCATCGTCGCCGTCGTCCTTCGATCGGTCCCAGGCTGGGGCCCGCGCCGCCGCGCCGGCGCCGCTAGCACTCGTCGTCGTCGTCGTCGTCGTCGTCGTCGTCGTCGTCGTCGTCGTCTTCGTCGTCGTCGTCGTGGTCGTCGTCGTCGTAGGTCGGGCCTGTCTCTCTACACGGGCAATATTCAAAAATAGTCCAAACATAGTGTGGGAACGATGTCTTGACATTGTGTTCGTATTTTGGGGGTGCTTTCGGGGTATACGTTTCACTTGTCGCCCAGAATATCCGCCCGTAGGGGGGCCAAGCCCGACCTCATCGCCGTCGTCGTCGTCGCCGTCGCCGTCGCCGTCGTCCTGCGATCTGCCCCAAGGAGGAGGAGGAGGAGGAGGAGGAGGAGGAGGAGGAGGAGGAGGAGGAGGAGGAGGAGAGGAGAGAGAGAGAGGAGAGAGGAGGAGGAGGAGGGGAGAGGAGAGAGGAGAGAGGAGAGAGGAGAGAGGAGGGAGGAGGAGGAGGAGGAGGAGGAGGAGGAGGAGGAGGAGGAGCAGGCCGGGGCCCGCGCCGCCGCGGCGGCGCCGCTGGCTCGCCCGGCGCGCCGGGCCGGAGGCGTGCCCGGCAGCGCGGCGTCGCCCGCCGGCCTCTCGCGCACGGCCAACAGCTACATCGGCCTGGGGGCGTTCGAGACCATTGGCGGCGACGCGCAGGGAGCGAGGCGTCAGGCGGGCGCGCCCCTGCACAGGAGGCAGAGTCAAGAGTAGTCCGAGGGTAGTCTGGGGACGGTTGTCTGGCTCTTGCGGAGCATTTGTTGCTATGTTTTGAGTCTTGCTTTTTATTTGTCGTCCGAGGTCCCCCTGCAGGGGGACACGCCCAGCCCAAGGCTACAGGCCTCCCGGGCGGGCGCGTCCCTCCACAGGAGGCAGAGTCAAGAGCAGTCCGAAGGTAGGCTCTTGCTGGGCATGTTTTGATATGTTTCGAGTCTAGCTTATATTTGACGTAGTTCTGCGGGGACGATGTGTTTGTTTGATCTAGTTCTACGGGGACGAGTGTCTGACTCTTGCGGGGCATGTGTTGCTATGTCTTGAGTCTTGTTTGCATTTGTCGTCCGAGATCCCCCTGCAGGGGGACGCGCCCAGCCTAAGGCTATAGGCCTCCCGGGCGGGGTCGGGGCTCGGCCGGGCCGAGGTACAAGATCGAGGTCGGTCCGGGGAGGGTACCCTCATGGTCTTCGTGTCTGTTGGATGTATCGGGTTGACCCAAAAGGGCTTCCAGCGACAAGGGGGTGGTGCAATGGATTTGGTGCAATAGATTTGTGGGGTTGCAATACATTTAGGGGCGTGCAATACATTTCGGGGCGCAAATGTATTGCTGGGCTTTCGCGTGCAATACATGATTTGCAATACAATGCAATACAATTCTTTGGCGCAGTACATTTGCAAGACCATTGCCTCAAATCTATTGCACCGCCCCCTTGCAGCTGGACCCCCTTTGGGGTCACCCAAAATGTTCCTGTGCATCCTGGGGGAGGGCACCCTCGAATGTTCTCCAGCTTGGCCGGCGCAGGGTCTCATGCCCTCGAAGGATGTTCGCATGTCCTGGGTCTGGCCACAAGCCTCCTGGGCGACGTCGGAGCAGATGGGGTCGGAGGATTCCGTAGCATCGGCGATGCATCGGCGATGTGGATCGGCGTGGAGCCCGATGTTCTTCACGCCGACGTCGCCGATGCATCGCCGACATCGCCGATGCATCGGTGATGCATCGACGAGGCGGCGCGATCCTTCTCAGAGTCCCGAATGAGGGTTGGGGGTGGTCAGGGGTAGCTCCTCATTCGTGCCTCAGTGGCCCAAGCCGGAGTTGCCCTGGCCTGGAGGTTGTCACAGATATTTCGGGCGTCCAACCATTCCCGAATTATCCAGGCTGGGGGTGGTCAGAGGTAACTCCTGGTTCGTGCGTCGGGGACTCCAACGAGAGCTATCCTGGACCCGAGTTATCCCGGAGAACCCGGGCGTCCAAGATCCTGCGCAGGGGTTTGCCACGAAGGCAGCGGGCCCCGAGGGAGCGGGCCCTCGGTTTGTCGCTGTTCCTGGGCTCTCGAGCCCCGGAACGGGCCCTGGGACCGTTCAAAAACGATCGCCATGAAGAGCTGGTCCCAGGGAAGGCCCCATGGGTCCGGGACCCGTGGCCCTCCGGGCCCGCTTCCTCCCCACGCTGCGGAGTGGCCCCCGGTGCGCGGCCTGCCGCCCGCTGCAGGGGAGAGGCGCTGCAGCGGTCTGCGCGGTTGCGAGCGGAGGCAGTCTTGCTGCTCCCTGGCGATAACGGGCGTGACCGGGGAGGGGGGGGGGGGAGGGGGCTGGAGGAGGAGGAGGAGGAGGAGGAGGAGGAGGAGGAGGAGGAAGAGGAGGAGGGGAGGAGGAGGAGGAGGAGGAGGAGGAGGAGGAGGAGGAGGAGGAGGACGGGCGTCATCAAGAGTGCTCTTGGCCCATCCGCACCCCGCGAAAGCCGAGCCCCGCAGAGCACTCGGGCGGAAGGCCTCTCTTGCGCGTGGCCGGTCCGTGGGGTCCGACGTCGGGCGCATGGCCACCGGCATATCCTACCTGGAGACCATCGTCGCCGAGCAGGCGCCCGCGGGGGGAGAGGGAAGGCTCCGGCGCTGATCCATGTGTGTGCGCGCCCCCGAAGCCAGCGCGACCCGAGGGTGGGGTTGGTCTTCTGTCTTCCGGGACAACGCAGTGCAACGGATTGCTCGGCATTGCTTGTCATTGCCTGTAGGGGGCCACATGCGAACCCTATCCCTACCCCCCACGATGTCTGAGGGGGAGGGTGGGACTCATTTCGTGCGGGAGCTCCCGAGCGAAGTGAACCCCACCCTCCCCTTCAGAAATCGTGAGGGGTAGGGGTAGGGTTCGCATGTGGCCCCCTAGCCTGGCGTTGCTTGCCACTACTTGGCAAGTGCAATGCAACGCAACGCTTGCCATTGCTTGGCACCCCTCGGCGTTGCTTGCGTTGCTTCGCATCAGGTGGTCCTGCTTGGCATCGCCTGGCGTTGCTTGCCATTGCTTGCCAACGCATGGCATTGCTTGGCAATGCCTGGCAATGTGTGGCATCGCTTGGCGTTGCTTGGCACTGGCTGGCACTGCGTGTGGCATTTCTTGGCGTCGCTTGGAATCGCTTGGCATTGCTTGGCATTGTTTTCCTTGCAGTATCACTGAGCAGCGCATGGCGTTGCTTGGCATTGCTTTGCCTAGCTTGAAATCGCTTCGCATCGCTTAGCGTTGCTTGACATTGCTTGACATTGATTGGCGTTGCCTGGCGTTGCCAGGTGTGGCTTGGCATTGCGTAGCGCTGCTTGGCATCGCTGGACATCATTTGGCATTGCTTGGCATCGCTTGGCGTTCCCTTGAATTGTTTAACATTGGTTGGCATTGCTTGGCATGGCTTGGCATTGCTTGGCGTTGCTTGGCATCGCTTGGCATTGCTTGGCAGCGCTTGGCATTGATCGGTGTTGCTTGGCATTGATTGTCATCGCTTGGCATTGCTTTTTATTGCGTGGCGCTACTTGGTGTTGCTTTGCATTGATTGGCGTTGCTTGGCATTGCTTGGCAATGTCTTCCATTGTTTGGCATTGCTTGGGGTTGCCAGTCGACGCCCAGGAACACCGAGGAGCCTGGGACAACGCCAGGGGCAGCCTCCGCAGGCAAAACGCTGAGGAGCTCAGGGGAACCCCCAGGCAACGACAGCGTGGAACCTGGCATCGCTCGGACGTGTGTATTTTTTTCTCGGCGAGGACCCTTGAGGACCATCCTGGACCATCGAGCAAAAAAAACACGCACGAAACTGAACAATGCACGGGAAATGGACGTCCGAGCGACGGCAAGGGAAGGGCACCGCACCCACCAGTTTCTTCCACAAGCTGCAAGAGCGCCACAGACAAAGCTCCTCCCCTCTCCTCCTCGGTACGGGGATCGCTGCACCTGTCGGCAGCTCCATGGCATCGTCTCTTATGATTCGGAGGCTGATCGGCCTCCCACCCTGGCACGTCGATTAGCGAATTGGCCGTTTTCGGTTCGCGAGATGGCGTCGCGGCCGTCATTTTTGCGGGTCCAGGTCCGTCGGTGTCGGTCTTGGGCCGTTGTCGCTAAAGGGTGGTTTATGACAGGGAGGCTTGTCCGCCGCCGGATGATGCTGTGCGCTGACGGCACGCAGGACTGACAGAGCTCCACACTCACCACCCACCAAACCACCCCAACCCAACCCGAACCCCACAATTTGCTCTCCATTTCCAGTGGGGGGGGGGTCAGGGAACGTTGAAAAAAACATGGAATCCGTACCCCCCCAACCCGAAATTCGGGTCAAATTCGGGTCTTCGGGTTGGGTTGGGGTGGTTTGGTAGGTAGTCACGCACCGTGAGACATCGGGGCACAAGACGAGAAGCGACAGCCGAGATGGGGGACCTGGAGGCCCTCCTCCCCTGAGCTCCGGCGCGAGGGCGCGCTTCGCCTCGTGGTCCTTGCAGCGCCAGGCCTCGAAGTCTGCCCTGGGCGTGCCCTTCGGCGACGGCCTCCAGGAAGCGAGGCCTCACCAAGTCGGGATCGATTGGCAACAGAGGCTTCCCGCGCGGCGCGGCGCGGCCGAGGGAGCCCTTCCCAGACGCAAGGGGGCAAGACAAGGGGGCCCCAGGACGCCTCGCATCTCGCGGACCCGCTTGACGAGATGGGGGCGGCTTGGCGGAGTGCACGTCGTAGCCCGCTGGCAGCCCCGAGGCAGGGAGGTGCGTGGCCGGTGTGAGCGCTCAAAGCCGAAGGCGCGGCCCAGGAAGCTGCGGAGGAGGTCAGCGGTGTGAGCGTTGGGGTCGGCAGAAGTGGTGCTATGCGCTCGAGAGTGGGGCGCCAGAGCCCAGCCTGCCGGTGTCCTAGCTGCACGGAGCCAGTGGTCGCAGAGGCCAGGTCCCAACGTGAGAGCTCAGCGACGAAAGCGCCAGCGAAGCTTTCCAAAGGGGAAGGGGGCCGGGAGCCGCAGGTCCTGGTGTGTGTGTGTGGGGGGGGGGGCGGCGTTGCCTGGGGCCGCGCCCGGGGCGCCAGGGTTGCCAATGCGAGGTGGGGCCCGAGCAGGAGGGCGAGAGCGTGGTGGGGATCGCCGCGCGGCGTCAGAGCGGGCGACCCGCCCCGGGCCGCGGTCGTCGCTGGAAAGGGGTGCGCCGCCCCGCGTCACCCTTCGACCTGGAGCGCAGAGAGGCGCCGATGTCCGCCAGGGAGTCGCCGCGAGCGGTCAGGGAGACCAGGGCGGAGGAAAGGGGGCGGCAGGACGCCTCCCACAGTGACGAAACGCCGCAGGAAGAACACCAGCAGCTTGGGGCCAGCTTCGTGTCCTTCACTGACGCACTCACTCTCAGACTTACACACGTTCAGACTCACTCATACTCATACTCAGACTCGCTCACACTGCACTCAGGCTCACTAACACTCAGACTCACTCACACTCATATGCACACTCAGGCTCATTCACGCTCAGACCCATCATGCAAATACTCGTTCAGCTCCGACCTCACTCACGCTCAGACTCACTCAGACTCAGGCCCAATCAGACTCAGACACACTCACGCTCAGACTTACTCACACTCAGACGTACTCAGACCCACTCAAACTCAGGCTCCCTCGCATTCAGATTTGCTCACACTCAAGCTCACGCGCACTCAAACTTGCGTCCCACTCGCACTTAGAATTACATGTTGCGGGGATGTCTCGAGCGAGCGACGACTCGCTCTCACACAGACACACATTGACATGTACCCACAGAAAGGCGTGCCAGGAAACTTATGTGCACGTATGGGGATCTCCGCGTCAAGTGATTAGATTCATTGCTGTTGGGTCTGGGTCAAGCGGGCGCAAGACACGGACCTCCATCGAGCTTGGAGACAGGCCAGAGACACATGTCGAAAGCAGCCAAGCTGGAGCAGGGTCAAGGGGCCAGTGGGTGCTGTGCACTCGTCTGTGCTGAGAGCCGGACGGGATGGGAGCTTGCATCTCACCACTGGCTCAGGACGGACCGAGGTGATGCCATTTCTCTTTTCGCCACGTGCCCGCGCGACGTTAGAGTGAGGGTGCGCGAAGGTGGCCGCCGCGCCCAGGTTGTTCAGATGTTGCTGGGAATCCCAGAGGCCTTGGGACAGGCACCTGTTTGGGAGCGTGTTCTGGGGATTGGAGTCTTGCCGGTCAAGGGTCCCGTCCGCCAGACTACTCCTCGAGCTCTTCTGGGAGGCAGCCTCTTGCCGCCAGCGCGCAAGCACCAGCGCGGGTATGCAGACCGCAACTTGTACGGCTTCTGCAAGGAGGTTTAGGGGGGCTCTGGCCACCAGCGAGACGGATGTGCCAAGGTCTGGGAGGAGCCAGAAGACCCAGGCGAGAGTCATGTTGTGCCCGACGACCGCCTTGAGCACAAAGGTGGGCTGATGGACAGGGCCCGCGGGCTTCTTCTCGACTTCGACACTCCTGAGTTGGCGCATGAGGTCCCTCTCCTTTCTCTCGGGCTGGGCCCTGTCCCAGCCAAGCCAGAGGTTTCCTCGCGGGGCGCGGTGCACCGCCCATGGGGTACCAGCTCTGTTACCGACAGATCCGTCGCGGCCAACGGTGTTCCAGAGGCGACCCGATGCGGGTGGCCGGCTGTGGCGATCCCCCTCCTCCTCCTCCTCCTCCTCCTCCTCCTCCTCCTCCTCCTCCTCCTTGTCCTCCTCCTCCTCCTCCTCCTCCTCCTCCTCCTCCTCCTACTCCTCCTCATTTGGGGCGGTGCTTGGCGGGCAGGTGCCAGGCGGTACATAGGGCCGAGCAGCAGGCCGTCTTCGAAGCTGCGGAGGTCGGACCCCAGGGGGCCGAGGTCGTTGGCGGCCATGTGTACCTTGCGAAGGCTAACAATGCGCGGTCCCCGATGCTGGCTGGAGGGCCGTCGCGCCATGCCAGCGCTCGGAGAGATGTCTCAAAGTTGCACCAGAGGGTGCCCGATGCCGGTCGACGCCCATCGTGTAGGTGGGCCCCCGGGCACGGAGACTTCGACCCCATCCCGAGTGAGCTGGAAGTCATGAGCCAGGATACTTCCAGAATCTATGGCTTTCTGGGCAACTCGTGAGCTGACTTGTTTTGCGAAGATCGGAGCCAGTAGCGACCAGGCGTCTGAGGGTGTTGGCGCAGCTTTGCGAGGTCAGCTCAAGGATGTCAAGCAGACCTGCGGTTTCATATCTAGAGTAGCACAGCTCGTTACGAGCCAGGCCGAAGGAGCCAACCAGGCTCCCAGACGCCGAGAAATTGCTCCGCCTCGCCACGATCTCGAGGAGGTGGAGGGCGGGGGGGCTCGCTGCACGGGGTGCCGGTGCTCGGCTGAGACCGGCCTGTCGCGTGCTAAGCGCGAGCAGCCTGGCATGGACCATGGAGTGCCAGCCCACCAAAGGCTGCCTCGGCATCTTTCTTCTGCGCGTGCTGAACGGCACGGAGGTCTGTTTCGGAGGGCGTTCCTCCCTCCCCTTCTCTGCCTAATTCAAGCTTCGCGCGGCCCGCTTAGCTTCGACCAGAAGAGGTGCGCTCTCGACCCGCGGATCAAAAAAAAATGTTCCGGAGGGCGCAGCGAAGTTTTGTTCCGCGGGCCCTTGAGACCTTCGGTGTGACGCACGAGGGTCCCGGGCCGGCGCATGCTCTCGAGCGTTTCGAACACGAGGGCCACGTGCTCCAGCCTGCAGGCCAGTGCCTCATCTGCAGAAGGTGCGGGCAACGCACTACTTCCTTGAGGCCCCCATCTGGAGGGGCTTCCCCTGTCCTTGCAGAGGCGAGGCCTCTTCAGCCCACCGGTGTCGTTTGAACGAGTTGTTCGCTGGTCGCGAGCCTCGCTAATAAGGCTGCAGCGGCTGGCTTCGTGCCCTTGCTGGGGTTGGTTTCCGCGGCCGTATTTGTGGAGTTTGGCCTCTGCTGATTGAGCGGTTTCGCGTAGAGGCCCCTGCTCCCTTCTCCGAGGCTGCTACCTCCTCGTCCTGTCGGCAAATGCTCGATTCGGACACTGTCTCTGAGCTCTCCTCTGTTCCCTTCTCTTCCCTCGAAGAAGAAAACGCCACATACATAAGCTTGTCGTGTTCCGCGCGGATTTCTCGGATCCATGCTGGGGTCCCCTGGCGGCGCCTCCGGCGCCGCCCCTGGCGCGCTCTGTGCGCCAGGGAGGGGGTCCAGCGCGGATCCAAGGAATCCGCGCGGAGCGCCAAAAGTTGATGGTGTTGCTGCGTTATTGGTGTTTTGGGGGCGTTCTCCCTCTCCTCTCCCGCTGCGCCCTGAGTCCTCTGGTTCCTGCGAGCCGCCCTTGCGACCCGCAGCGCCTGGGCACGGGATCAGGGTTCCCTGTCGCGGCCGCACGCGCAGGGCAGCCTTGCTGCGTTGCCGTGGTTACGCCCGTTCAGTATCGCTGCAAAGGCCAAGGTCAGGAGGGGAAATGATCCTGGCGAAGGACCCAACCATGCGCACTTGCGAATACCGCGGTTCTGAATCTCATCTTCGCCCGCGCTCCCGATGGGGTCACGGACCGCGCGAGGGGCGTGCCGAAGTGCGCGGCGGGGCACACAACGCGAACGAAGACGAGAGGTCTGTGTGCGAGAGACTGTGAGCGGGTGAGTGTGAGCGCGAGTGAGTCTGATTTCGAATGAGTCCGCGCGCGCGTGAGTCTACGTGCGTGAATGTCGACGCCCATATCGGCGCGCCCCTCACGAGGATCGCGCCCGCTCCCTCCTTGTTTTTGTCCCCCCCTTTGCCCGCGCGCGCCCATGTCCAAGGCTGCGTGCGCGGCGCCGCGCGGAGTCCCCGCGACGCGCGCTGGTCGCCCCGAAGGGGTCCAGGCGACGCGCGCGGGTCGTCCGCTGCGCGGAGCAGAGAGAGCTGGCAGGCCGGCTAATCGTGCTCAGCATGGGCACAGGGCGCTGCTAGTAGGCCGGCCGATAGCGCTCAGCTAGCAGGCCGGCTGATAGTGCTAGAAGTCTCTGGCCGCTGGGCACAGCGACGACGGGGGCGAGCGAGGCGCCGGGCAGAGCGCAGCATGGAGTTCCCGCGACGCGCGCTGGTCGCCCCGAGAGTGCCGCAGCGACGCGCGCGGGTCGCCCGCGGCGCAAGGCCAAACAGTCAGACCGTCGAGAGACGGCGAGGCTCGAGCAGGTCGTTCCTCAGGTAAAGCCTCGCGGATAAATCTGGTGAGGCCAAGTTCCCTGGCAAGGGCCGTCGCCTCACTTCTGCACCGCCTCGTGCGCTTAGCAAACTGCTCGAGCTGTTTCCGCAAGCCCTCCAGCGGCCTTGTCAAGAAGAACTCGACGCGCGGCGCCCGCATGAGCAGGAGGTCCCCGTGGCGCGTGGCGCGCGAGAGCGGCGCGTAGAGCTCCAGCCACCAGTCGTTGCCCTCCTTTTTGCCGTTCCCGACCTCGTGGCGGCTGTAGTCCAGGATCACGCTTTGGCAATGTCGGCCGAGGGAGCAGCGCGCCGGACAGCCGACGGCCCAAGGCCAGAGTCCACGGGGCCGAGAGGAATCACGCGGCGGGGCCATGCGGACTGCGCCACTGGGACCTTAGTTGGAGCTCCCTATGGGGCCACGAAGCGTGTGATCGGTGTGCCAAAATGGGGCGGCGGTGCCATGCGACTTGCGCCACTGGGACCTTAGTTGGAGCGCACGAAGCGTGTGAGGGGTGTGCCACAATGGGGCGGCGCCGCCATGCGAGCTGCGCCACTGGGACTTTAGTTGGAGCTCCCTAAACGTGTGAGGGTGTGCCAAAATTGGGCGGCGCCGCCGTGCGAGCTGCGCCATGTGAACCTTCGTTGAGGCTCCTGATGGGGCCACGAAGCGTGTGAAGGGTGTGCCACAATCGGGCGGCGCCGCCATGCGAGCTGCGCCACTGGGACCTTAGTTGGAGCTCCCTATGAGGCCACGAAGCGCGTGAGAGGTGTGCCACAATGGCGCGGCGCCGCCACGCGAGCTGCGCCACTGGGATCTTAGGAGGAGCTCCTGATGGGGCCACGAAACGTGTGAGGGGTGTGCCAAGAGGTGGCGGTGCCGCCGCGCGAGCTGCTCCAGCGGGACCTTAGCTGGAGTTTCATATGGGGCCACGAAGCGTGTGAAGGGGGTGCCGACATGGGTGGTGGGGGCGATGATGATGACGATGCTGATGATGTTGATGATGACGATTATGATGACAAGGATGTGGATGAGGATGATGTTGCAGATGACGGTGTTGATGGATGATGGTCGATGGTGATGATAGTGACGATGATGCTGATGATGGGGAGAGGGAGGGGGGGCAGCGGGAGGAGAAAACGCGAGGCGCTGTCTCTTCAAAACAAGGACCCAGCACCACAGGATGGCTGGGAAAAACACACACACAATTAATCGGCGATTCCCGGGAGATGTTGGAAAATATGGCAAGTGGGGGGAAGCCGGAAACAAAGAAAATATATAAACATATTTGGTATATTGGGATGCGTGTGTGTATTTATTTGTGTGTCCCTGGGCCCCTTCACAAGGTTTTCGCGCGACGGCTCACCTATTGCAGGCTGGCCCTCAGGTGATGCCAGGTTTGCCCAGTGCATGCGGTCGGGCACCACTGTGTGTGTGTGTTGATTTGGAAGACGAGGGCGCCCTCGTCGAAGCCTGATTGGGGAAAAATGAGGCGGCCCTGGGGAAGGGGTCCATCCGGTGGGGTTTTGGACAAGGAGCCCGCAGATGAGGAGCCCAGGGTCTAGAAGCGGTGGAGCTCCAATCGTGGATCGGCCGTGGTTACCACCGTCACCGTCGCCCTCATGGAGTGAGGAGTCATCCTGGGCCTGCAGGCCTGCTGGGCACACTCCGTCACGAACGCTCCACCGAACGCAGGTCCGGGGCCCCACGCATCGAAGAGTCCGAGGCGTGGCAGCCCCCAATCGGGGTGGTGACCACACCGTGTGGTGAGTCGGTGGGGATTCGGGGTCACCGCACGGTTTTGGGACTCGGGTCGTTCTCCGAGGACGTTACGGGCGACTGCGGCATCCGAGGTCCCAAACCCGTGCGTTGAAGGACCGTGCGGTGAGGTCTTGGGGGGGTTCGAGGTCACCTTACGGTCTGTCATCGCACCGTTTCGGGACTCTAAAAGAGGGGGAGTACGGGGGCGTCTGCCCCAGGCGCCCTCGAGTCAGGAAAAGATCGACGGAGAGTCTTTCGCTGTTTTCGGCCCCTGGGTGCCATTACCGGGCCTCGGGGCCGTCCAAAAAGCGGCGCAGGATGAAAAACTGGTCCCGGGGGAATGAGTCGAGACCTTTGGGGTCGACCTTGGGGGTCGAGACTTTGGGGGGCGTCTGCGTGGCCGTGGGGAAGGTCGGCCACGCGCAGAGTGGGGCAGGGGGAGGGGGGAAGGCTTCTCAGAAACACCCCTGCGTCTTAGAAGGCGCGGGCCTTGTCTATAGGTGCAGGGCCAGCGCCTTCTGACAAGCAGCCTCCTTGCAAGAAGCCTTCCCCTCTCCCCCATGTCCCCCTCTGAGCGCCGCCAAATGATTCCGCATTCAAATCTGATCTTGGGGGAAGCAAGCCAAGGGTCCAGGACCCGTTTCCCTCAGGACCCCTTGTCTTTTGCCAAAGGAGGCCGCGTACGAGGCGGAGACGACCCCTCTCCGGCGGGCCGTCAAGGCCATCCCCCTGCTGAAGAGCAGGCTGGAAGTGGGCAGACAGCACCACCAGCAGCAAGACCCGCAGGAGGCAATCAAACAGTACTCGCGCGCACGTGAGCTGGCCGAGGAGGCCATCCAGAGCTTGAGCAGCGCCAAGTCGGTGAACTACGCGCGCTTTCTGCTATCCGAGGTGTGCAGCAGCCTGGGCGTCGCCCACAACGACGTCGGCGATGCGGAGAGCGCGCTGGCCATGCACGAGCGGGCCCTGGCGATTCGCAAGGAGACCGTCGGAGAGGAGCACCCCGCCGTCGCGGAGTGCTACAACAATCTCGGCGCGCTCTTCTTCTCACAGGGCTCCTTCCAGCAGGCCGTGAGCCACTACGAGCAGGCACTCCCGCTGCTGATGCTGGGCTCGGGGGGGAAGGCAGACGGGCCATACGTCGCGCTGACGCTCTACAACGTCGGGGTCTGCCACGACGGCCTGGGCAACGCGGAGGCATCCGTGGCCGCCCTCACGAAAGCGCTGGAGGTGGCGGAGAAGGCGCTCGGGTCGGACCACCCCAAGGTGGCGACCAGGAAAAGGAGGAGCAGCAGCAGCAGCAGCAGCAGCAGCAGCAGCAGCAGCAGCAGCAGCAGGAGGAGGGGGGGGATCCAGACCACCCAGCAGTGGGGCACGAGCGGGTGGGGCCGCGGCATCGCGCCGCATCGCTGACGCATCGGCGATGCGGCGCGATCCGGGGCCCGATCCGGCTTCTCCGACGCATCGGCAGGGCGGCGCAGTCTTCCGACGCCGTGCGGGCAATTCCGGAAGCCCTCGGCGAAAAAATGATTGGCGCACCGTTGCATCATCCGGCTGCCCGCGGCAAGGTCCGCCACCCTACCAGCCCAGCATTCCTGGCGGCGACGGTTCGAGCATGGGAGAGCCACGATGATGATGATGATGATGATGATGATGATGATGATGATGATGATGATGATGATGATGATGATGATGTTGATGACGATGATGATGATGATGATGATGATGTTGGTGATGATGATGACGATGATGATGATGATGATGATGATCATGACGACGACGACGATGACGATGGTGGGGATAATCATGCCGATGATGACGACGATCATGGTGATAAGGAAGATGCTGATGATGATGATGCTGATGCTGATGGTGATGGTGATGCTGATGGTGATGGTGATGGTGGTGATGATGGTGGCGATGGTGATGGTGATGATGGTGATGATGATGATGATGATGATGATGGTGATGGTGGTGGTGGTTCTGGAGATGGTAATGGTTGCGTGGTAGTGATGCTGCCAATAGTGGTGATGATTATGATCATGATGATGGTGATGGTGGTGTTGATGATGTTGATGATGGTCATGATGGTGGTGGTCGTGTTGATGTTGGTTGTGTGGAGATTATGAGGATGAGGATGAGGATGATGGTGGTGATGCCGGCGATGGTTATGCTGATGTTAATGTTGATGGTGGTGACGAAGATGTCGGTGATGATGATGATGAAGATCATGAGGATGAGGATGAAGATAACAATGGTCATGATGGTGATGATGGTGATGGTGATGGTGTTGGTCATGGTGATGGTGATAGTGATGATGATTGTGATGAGGATGGCGATTATTTTGATGATGGCAATGGTTGATAATGATGTTGATGATGCAATTGGTGCGTGTGTTGACAGTGATGGTGATGATGTTGATGGTGACGGTGATGGTGATCGTGATGCTGACGATGATGATTATGGTGTTGATGTTGTTGGTAATGATTATGATGATGGTGATGCTGAAGATGTTGAGGTTGATTATGATGGTGATGATCGTGGTTTGATGATGATAACGGTGATGGTGATGATGATGGTGATGATGATGATGGTGGCGTGGTGGTGATGGTTATGATGGTGATGCTGTTTATGATGATGATGACGATGATTGTGATGGTGGTGGTGATGTCGGTGATGCTCATGATGATTATGATGATTATCATGATGATGATGCTGGCGATGATGTTGACGATGATGATGATGATGATGATGATGATGATGATGATGATGATGATGCTGATGATGATGATGACGACGATGATGCTGATGATGATGGTGGTGGTGGTGGTTGTGGTGATGGATGGTGGCGGTGGTGTTGATGAGGAAGGGGGGAATGAAGATGAGGATGGTGGGGGCGATGAGGATGAAGTTTAGTTAAAGGCTGAGGATGATGATGAGGAGGAGGAGGAGGAGGAAGAGGAGGAGGAGGAGGAGGAGCGGCAGGAGCAGGAGGAGGAGGAGGAGGTGGAAGGCCGTCATGTGACACTTATCTTATTCTAAGCTATCATGGAACTCGCTTGTGCCCTCTTGGGCTGTCTTGGCCTACTGAGAGGCAGTCGGGGGTCTCTTGGGGACCTCCTGGGCCATCTTGGGGCCCTCTTACGCCGTCTTGGGGCTCCCAGTGGCCGCCTTGGGGACGTCGATGCTTCCTGTGGGACATCGTGGGACCTATTGGGCCAGTTTGGGCCCTGCTTGGGGTCTCCTGGACCTTCTAACACGGTATACTTACATCAAGGACCGCTCAATACAAATTTGGCATCGCTCGGACGTGTGCATTGTTCCTTCGGCGAGGACCATCGAGCAGCGTCCTTGATCAGTTGGCGGGAAAACCACGCACGAAACCGAAAAAAACAGGGAGTGGACGTCCGAGCGATGCCCAGCAAACGCACATGATGAACGACGCGCATGTCGCAGCCCTTGAGGGAGCCGCAACGTCTAGGCTGGGTCCGCGTGGACTTCCATTCCGCTGGACCTCCCAGGCGCCCACGAAGTGGGCGAACGTTGCGCGGTCCGCAGCCCCCCAGGGCTTGTGAGGTCTCTGCTGGGTCTGCGTGGACTTCCACGCCGATGGACCTCCTCGAAGCCCACAAGAATGGCGACAGCTGCGCGGTTTGCAACCCCGCAGGGAGCCGCAGGGTCTCGGCAGATCTGCGTGGGCCTCCTTTCCGCTGGACCACCTCCCAGGAGCCCACGAAAATGGCGACAGTCGCTCGGTTCGCAACCCCGCATGGAGCCGCTAGGTCTCTGCAGATCTGCGTGGGCCTCCACTCCGCTGGACCTTTGCGCGGTTCGTAACCCCGCCGGGAGCCGCTAGGTCTCGGCAGATCTGCGTGGACTTGCACTCCGATGGACATCCCAGGAGCCCACGAAAGTTGGAGCACGGTTCTTTATTGCTTGGGGCATGACGGGCGTCATGGCCCCCAGCCCCCCCCCCTTTATGACGTAACGCTCCTCCCCCCAGTGCGTTCTGGACACTGCCGCCGTGCGCATCGTGATCCGCACCAGTGTCCGCATAGGAATTCGTATAGAAGTCTGGTCCGCAGTCGTCGTCGTCGTCGTCGTCGTCGCCGTCGTCGTCGTCGTCGTTGTTGTCGCTCGTCGCTCGTCTCTCGTCGCTCATCGCCGTCGTGCGCGCGGACGCAGCTGGAGCCTTTTTTTTAATTCCAGGCCGATGACGGCAATCATCTAGGGGGGATGACGTCACGTTTCGCGCTGGCGGCGTCAGGGAATGCCCAGGAATCACCGAGGACGAGTAGCAGCAGAATGTCGGTGGCGATCTGCACCACAACGCCTGTGTACACCATAATGCCTGCGTGCCTGCGTGCACCACGGCGCTTGTGTACACCACACCGCATATGTACACCACAGCAGCCGCGTGCATCACAGCGCCAGTGTGTGCCACAGTGCCTGCTGTCACCACAGCGCTTGTGTACACCACAGCGCCCGCGTACACCCCATCAGCCGTGCGCAACACAGCACCAGTGTACACCACAATGCTTACGTGCACTCAACACGGCACCAGTGAATAGACCATTCTGCGGTGCACGCTGAGACGCGCACGTGCGCTGTAGTGCCGACCCGCACGACAGGGGGGAAGGGTGAGGGAGGAGGAGGAGGAGGACGAGGAGTAGGAGGAGAAAGAGGACGAGGAGGAGGAGGAGGAGGAGGCGAAGGAGGGAGGAGGGTGGAGGGAAAAAGGTCGCATTCTATTATCAGCACTTCCCTGGCGTGGCGTTTAGCTGTCCGCAGCAGATCCTCACCGAACCGACATGCTCCTTCTACCTGTCCTGTGCACGCAGGCACTCTGGTGTACACCAGCGCTGCGTTGCACGCGGATGCTGTGGTGTAGACAGGCGCTGTCGTGTGCACAGGCGCTGCGGTGCACGTAAGCATTGTGGTGTAGACAGGCGCTTTGTTGCACAAGGTTGCTGCGGCTTGCACAGATCGCCACCTACATGCTGCTCGCGTCGTCGTCGTCGCTCGTCGCTCGTCTCTCGTCGCTCACCGTCGTCGTGCGCGCGGGCGCGGCTGTGGTGCCAGAGCTGCACAACGGGGGGGGGCGTTACGTCGTACCCCCCCCCCGCCCCCCCCTCCATCCATGACACCCGTCATCGCCGATGATAAAGAAACGCGCTCTTGCGACAGTTGCGCGGTTCGCAGCCCCGCAGGGCCCGCGAGGTCTCGACGAGGGAGAGGACGACAGAACAGGAGAGTGAGGGGGCTGAGTGAAGGGGAGGAGGCGGGGAGGAGAGAGGCGGGCGGCAGGAGGCAGGAGGCGGGGCCCAGGCTGCTCTATTCAAAACGGGAGCCCCATCAAGGGAGGGTTGGGAAGAAGAAATCATGATTTTGGTTTCTTCGGACCCTGTCGGAGGTCCTCCTGTGACCCTCTTGGGTCTTCTTGGAGGTAAGTTGCGCCGTCCTGACGCCATTTCGGGCTGCCTCGGGGTCATCTTGGGCCATCTTCGAGGCATCTTGGGCCATCTTGGTGTCTTTGGTTGCCTGCATGTGCCGTCTTGGAAGCTCGGAACACGAATCCATTCGTGTGCAAGGGATGGTGGCCTCGGCAGCGCGGATCCATTGTCTTGTCTGAGGGATCGTGGACTCGGGAGGGCGGGACGATGCATGCAGATAGTGCTGGTAGTGAAGACGTCCCTTACCAGAACTCAGAGGCTTTTCGGTAGGTCTGCGTCGTGCCAACCGGCGCAGACCCCGCCGCGGGCGTTCAAGGTTACGCCGCCAGTGGCCGGGAATCGGCCAGTATGGAACGATCTGGCGATCGAATGCCCGCCGATCGCTCAAGGTTAAACCATCCACGGGGTGTCAGAAACCAGCGCCAAGGTCGCCACGGCACGAACCTGCCCTACCGGACAACCTTAGGCATTCGTCCACGTAGCGTGGACAAATCGGCGGCGAGCGAGGGGGGAAGTGAGAAGGGGCGGGCCTTCTCAGCAGGCTCGGAAGTCCCCCGGCCTGCAGAGGAGGTTTCCTGAGCCTTCCCCGAAGACACGAACAGCATGTCGAAGGCCCGAGTGGTTTCTGAGACGTCCCGCCGCCTTTCCGAGAAGGCCTTCTCCTCCTCACTTCCCCCCCTCGCCCGCCTGGCACAGGCACGGTGGCGGATCTCCGCCGCCCTCCGCCGACCTGCCGCCCGGCGGACTGGTCGCGGGCCCCTCCGCGCGGGGGCGCGAGGGTGCGTCGGGAGCGGGGCCTTTTTCCGGAACGCGCCAGCCTGGCAGAGATTGGGCGTTGCGTATTGGGGGGGTCATACATGGGGGGGTGGCGAGAGTGGTCCGAAAAGGTACCCAAACGGTACCTAAACGAGCCCCCTGGGGCTCCGGAGGGGCCCGAAAGGGGCACGAAAGGGGACCATTTCTGACCCCCCCATTTATGACCCCCCCGTTAAGCCACGCCCAAAGAGATGGCTCTTGCCAGTGCCGCGCCGCCTCGAGGCCTGGCGCCAAGCCCTCCTCCGTGAGAAGCGGGCAGAGCCCTGGAAGGGTCACACCACTAGTCGCCGCGAGGGACACGGGTCCTGAGGGACACGGGTCCTGAGGTTTTCGAGCCCTCGGGACTTCCAGAAAACGGCTCAGGAGGAAGATCTCGTCCTGGGGGCAGAGACGATCGTGCGTGAGGGGGGGGGGCCTGGACCCGCACGCAGTGGTACTCCCAACCGACGGGGATGTAGTCCCAACCAACTGGGGACAAATCCAACCGGCGAGAACGGCAAACTGGAGATACTTCCAGCCATCTCTTTCAATTGCAGAACGGCTCCACGATCTGATTTTAAGTGTGAAGCAATGCTCATATATTCCCGAAAACCAAGTGATCGGTTTACAGGCGCATACTTGTTCGAGTGCGCAACATGGCTGCCCCAGTTGGAATTACACCCAAAACGCCTTGCGATGATGTGGACCTCACGATGTGGATATGGATGGCGGTGAGTGCCTCTTGTGTGGTGTGTGAGCGTTGTGTGCGACGTTTGCGGTGTCCGCTGTGTGTGCGGTGTTTGCAGCGTTCTAGAGACTTCAACGCCACGAATCAATCTGACTATTGCGCCTTGGCGACCCTGATTGATGGCAAACATCTCTCCTGGGACTTCACCACCGCGAATCAACGTAACTGATGCGCCCTGTCATTCCTGAGTCGCTCCAAGACACCAAGTCTGGTATGTTGACCATGAGATTCCATGAAGCTGTTGTAAGTTTCTAAGACGAACGTGCGCGGCGTTCAGGCAAGAGCCACAGTTTGAGAAGGAACCATCCTTAACGCATAAAACGCATACAAGTGATGGAGATGAAGGGGCGCGGCGCTGACGCGGTATCGAAAACGGCCCGCCCTTCATCCGTGCAACTCATGCAAACCTTGAAACAAATGTGCGCGGCGCTACTGCGAGACCGACAGTTTGAAAGCGACCCGCCCTCCATCCGTGAAACTCCTGCGACTTGTGAAAACAAATGTGCGCAGTGCTAAAACGAGAGCCACAGCTTGAAAACGACATGCCCTCAATCCGTGATGCTGTTGCAAGTTGTTAAGACGAATGTGCGCGACGGTCTGGCGAGAGCCACATCTTGAAAACGACCCGCCTCCAATTCGTGAAGCTCTTGTAGTTTGTTATGATGAATGCGCGCGGCGATAAGGCGAGAGCCACATGTTGACAAAACACCGACCCCCCCTGATACGTGAAGCCGCTGCCAACTCTAAAGCTCCAGGATCAGATATGATTGGGAAGTCTCAGGCGAAACGCCCGGCCCGCCCTTCCGACTGGCCTCGGGGTGCGGCATGGAGGAATGATTGATTAGGAAATCAAGGAAAACGAATGGAGGGTAGCACGGGGAGGAGGAGGAGAGCAGGAGGAACAGGAGAAGGATGAGGAGGAGGAGGAGGAGATGGAGGAGGAGGAGGAGGAGGAGGAGGAGGATCGGCAACAGGAGGTGGAGAAGGCTGTCGGAATGGACCGCCCCAGAACGGATGGGGAGAAGCAGGAAGAGGAAGAGGGAAAGGAGGCTGATGAGGAAGAAGAAGCGGAGTTGACGCTCGGATCGGACCCGCCCAAGGTGGGGCTCATCAAGGCCACCATAGAGAAGGTTGCTGCTGGCCAGAAAGCGTAGAGAATCTGCCGCCAGAGGGTTGCCAGGCCCGAAGCGTCGGCCTGCACCTCTCCCTCAGCTTCCCCCCTGCCTTTGAGCTGGGACCTCTCAGCCTGAGCGTCGGGTTCCTGGCCCACGGCGCTGCCATCCAGGCCAAGAACTCCAGCCGCCTGGCCTGGAGTTTTAGCCCCCGGTGGCCTGAGACTCGCGACCGGCCACCCTCTGCCTCCCCCCGCATTCTTTTTCCTCGTCGTCCCATTCATCCTGCCCCCCCTCCGCCGCCGCCTCCGTCGTCGTCGTCGTCGACGTCGTCGCACTCGTGGTCGTCGTCGCCGTCGTCGTTGTCGTCGTCGTCTTCCTCCTCCTCCTCCTCCTCCTCCTCCTCCTCTTCTTCGTCCTCCCTCCTCCGCCTGCCAAGTTCTGCTGCCGTCACGGAGGACAGAGAAAAGGGAGGATTGGGAGGACAGAAGCAAGAAGATCGACAGGCGAACCCTGACGGGCCGGTCGGGCGGGCGGACCCTAACGAAGGAGGGCGGGCGGACCCTAACGGGCGGGTCGGGCGGGTGGACCCTGACAAGCGGGTCGGGCGGGCGGCCCCAACGGGCGGGCGGGTAAGTGAGGCGTATTTCGTAAAGTGTGAAGAGGCCGGAAGCGAGAGCACGAATCCTGAGGAAGTTGTAAGGAAGTCTTCTGCGAGAGAACGATTCCTAGACGTAGAGGGCGCAGCCTTTGAATATATCGCAAGGAAGTCTCGAGCGACGAAGCGGTTTCTGGACAAATCGCGAGGAAGTTTCAAGCGCAAGCGCGATTCCATCACACGTTGGGATGAAGTTTCCGGCGGGAGCCGTTGTTGTTGTTGTTGTTGTTGTTGTTGTTGTTGTTGTTGTTGCTGTTGTTGTATACCGGGGGCCAGGGGTGCAGACTGAGCCTCGAGACGCCGCCTGCCAAAAGCAGGGTGCGAGCCAAGGGGGGGACATTTCATTTGAAAGATATAATGGGCCCCGGAGTGGGGGGGGCAACCGTAATTATCGGGGGTGGACAGACCTCCTACCCTGACACGTCGATTAGCGAGTTAGCCGTTTTCGGTTCGCGAGAGGGCGTCGTGGCCGTCATTTTTGAAGATTCAGGTCCGTCGGTTTCGGCCCCAGGCCGTTTTCACTAAAGGGAGGTTTACTAAAGAGAGGTTTGTCCACCGCCGAAATAGATTTTCAACAGCAACAACAACAGCAACAACAACAATAAGTTTAAGAATGTTCGCCCTAATATGCTCGAGTGTCCAATAACGCGTATTTCCCAAACCCTCGATACCCGCCTTCTTCGTCTTCGATCGAACCCCTTTTGGGGGGTATACCTTTCTTCCCTGCAGGCCGGGCCTTTGCAAGCGGCGGGGCGGCCGCGGACCGTCGGCCTGGCCAGCGGCAGCGCTGATCGGCGGGGCGGCCGTGGACCGTCGACCCGACCCCAAGAGGAACGGACGGACAGGGGACCGACCACGACGACGACGACGACGACGACGAAGAAGACGACGGCGACGACGACGACGACGAAGTCGAAGACGACGGCGACGACGACGACGACGACGGCGACGACGACGGCGACGACGACGACGACGACTGCGACGACGAGCGAAAGCGAGAGCGAGAGAGAACGACAGCAGGGCCACGAAAGGCACGAAGTAGGCCACGAAGGGCGACAGCGGGGACACGAAAGGAATGCGTATGGGGCCACGAAGAGCGCGAACGAACGGGGGCCACGAAGTGCAGATAATGCGGGGCCACAGAAGGCAACTATGGGGCCACTGAGGGTAGCAATTGGGCCACGTAGGACAGCGAGGGGGACACAAATGGCGACAGCGGGGACACGAAGGGCATGCACATTGGGCCACAACGGGCGCGACTCCTGGGTGCCTGGGTGTCGGGAGCGCGGCGCTTGGGCAAATTGCAGGAAATTCCAACGCAAGGCCATTCTTCAGCAAGTGGAAAACAAGTCTCCAGCGAGAGCGCGACCCCAGAGCGCCAGGAGAGCGATTCCTGAATACATTGTAAGGAAGTCCCAAGCGAGAGCGCGATTTCTGAATAAAATGCGAGGAAGTCTCGGGCGGGAGCGGGGGTCCTGGCTAAATTGTATGGAAGTCTCAAGCGGGAGCCGTTGTTGTTGTAACCCGGGGGCCAGGGGCCCAGTTTGAACGTCAAGACCTTCCGTGTCAAAAAACAGGGTGCGAGCGTCGAGGGGCGCACGTTGATTAAGAAAAACAATCTGCACCGGTGGGGGGGGATCAACAATAATGTTTCTTCAGAAATGAGAATTCAATCAGTTTAAGACTGTTCGCTCTTATCTGCTCGAGTGTCCGTCCACGCGTATTTCCCAAACCCTCGATACCCGCCCTCTTCGTCTTCGATCGTACCCCTTTGGGGTAGATCTTTCTTCCCTTCAGGCCGGGCCTCGGCAAGCGGCGGGGCGGCCGCAGACCGTCGGCCAGGCCAGCGGCAGCGCTGATCGGCGGCGACCCGACCCCAAGAGGGACGGACAGGGGACCGACCACGACGACGTCCCCGACGACGACGACGAGGACGACGGCGACGACGACGACGACGACGACGACGACGACGACGACGACGACGACGACGACGACGACGAGGACGACGAGGAGCGAATGCGAGAACGAGAGCGAGAGCGAAAGCGACAGCGGGGCCACGAAGGCCAGGAAGGGGGCCACGCAGGGCGACAGCGGGGCCACGAGGGGCATGCGCATGGGGCCACGAAGGGCGCGAACGAGCGGGGGCCACGAAGGGCAGAGAACGCAGGGCCACCGAGGGCAACGACGGGGCCACTGAGAGTAGCAACGGGGCCACGTAGGGAAGCGAGGGGGCCACACATGGCGACAGCGGGGCCACGAAGGGCATGCATATGGGGCCACGACGGGCGCGAACGAGCGGGGGGGCCACGATGGTCATGCGTACATTAGGCCGCAGAGGGCAAGGACGGGACCACTGAGGGCAACACCAGGGCCACGAAGGGCAGCGAAGGGGCCGCGAAAGGCGACGGGCCACGACGCGCATGCATATGGGGCCACGACGGGCGCGAACAAGCGGGGGCAACGAAGGGCATGCATATATGGGGCCACGGAGGGCAGCGAGGGGGCCACGAAGGGGTGAAACGGGACAACGAAGGGCAGCGAGGGGGCCACGAAGGGGTGAGACGGGACAACGAAGGGCAGCGAGGGGGCCACGAAGGGCAAGAACGGGGCCACGAAGAGCAGCGAGGGGGCCGCGAAGGGCAGCGACGGGGCGGCCACGCAGGGCAGCGACGGGGCCATTAAGGGCAGCGAGGGGGCCACGAAGGGCAGCGAGGGGGCCACGAGGGGCAGCGAGGGGGCCACGAAGGGCAGCGAGGGGGCCACGACGGGCAGCGAGATCCCGATCCCCAAGTAAGCTGTCAGGGAGTCCTAAGCGTGAGCGCGATTCCTGGGTGCCTGAATGTCACGAGCGCGGCGCTTGAATAAATTAGGGGAATTCCAACGCACGAGCGCTTATGCAGTAAATCCCAAGCAAAAAACAAGCGGGAGCGCGACTCCAGAGCGCCGAGAGCGCAATCCCTTCATAAAGTGCAAGGCAGTTCCAAGCGAATGCGCGATTTCTTTGTGAAATGCGAGGAAGGCTCAGGCGGGAGCGGGGGTCCTGGCTAACGTGTGAGGAAGTCTCAGGCGGGAGCCGTTGTTGTTGTTGTAATCCGGGGGCCAACGTCCCTGTTTGAGGCTTGTGTTTTCCCGGATAACGATATATATATAAATATATACAAACAAAAAACGCGAGCCCCGGAATAATCACTTCGATTGAACAATCACACTGGTCACCGGAGGGGGTGAGCAACCATAACTATTTTTCTGCATTGAAAGTTCAACAACAGAAGCCATGCCAATCATCTTAAGGCTGCTACATCTAATTTGCCCGTGTACCACTCAGTGTATATGTCGCGCCCTCGGTACCCGCCCTCTTCATCTTCCATCGTGTCCCCCTTTGGGGGATTTCTTTTTTACCTGCCGCGTGTAGCTGGCGCAGTCCGTAAAACAGGAAGAACAGAAAGAATGGCAGAGATTGGGAAAGAGAGAGAGAGAGAGAGAGAGCGAGGAGGAACGGAGTGTGGGTGAGGAGGGAGGAAGAAACGGGGCAAGAGGAAGTGATGGAGAAAATGGGGGGGTGAGCGAGAATAGCCGGAGGGAGAGAGAACAAGAAAAGGAAAACTGAAGGCGGCCCGATAGTGCAACGGGCAACCCCCCAACGGGCGGATTGAGCGGGCGGACCCCCACAGGCGGATCGGGCGGGCGGGGCATGAATGCGGGCGGGCAGATTGCCAAGCACGCAAGCAGGCAGGCCGTAACGGGTGGGTCGGCCGTCACACCATCACGGGCGAGTCGTGGGGACGGGCCACTTTCCCCAAACAGAGTATTGCATTTGGGGGCTCTAGCTTCTGTTCTGAGGCACTGGGCCTGACGGTCGGTCTGGCGGCTATGTGGCCGCCGTCGCCGCCCCGTCGCCGCTTCGTCGCCGCCCGTTGTTTGGGCCTGACAGTCGGTCTGGCGGCTATGTGGCCGCCGTCGCTGCCCCCATCGTCTGGGCCTGTCTGTCGGTCTGGCGGCTGTGTTGTCGCCGTCGCCGCCCCGTCGCCGCCGTCGCCGCAACAAGAACTACTTCTTCAGAGGTGAGGCTTCAGTAGTTATGTTATCATTGTTCGCCCTTCATTGCCCGCGTGTTCCTCAGCGTGTATACCCCGAGCCAGGCATACCCGCCCTCTTCGTCTTCGATCGTGCCCCCTTTGAGGGTCTTTGCCTGCCACTTGTCGTTGCCGCGGCCGGCAAATTGAAGGATGAATCAAACTATCAAGGAGAGGAGCGGGGAAAGAGGGAGGAAACGAGATCGGAGGGGAGCGAGAGGAAGGGAGGGAGATTGGGGCGAAGGAGATTGAGCAGCAGGGATGGGAGCGAGGAGCAATGATTTTGGCAAGGGGGCCCAGGCGGACGGGCC